TTATAAGAAAAAAAATGGTTAAACTATTGTGGTATCTGGTTAGTGGTCCGAGACCATTAAATGCACCAATATGGATAAAAAAATATAATAAAAAAACAAACTTTTCTTTTTTATAATAATTATTGATTAATTAATTTACATAATAAGTTTTGACTACCATTTCATTTTTAATATGTGGTACATACTATACTTATCCATGACATCCATATTATTATATTTTTGGTTATGTACTTATGGCAAGAGTAAAACCTACAAATTTGAGATACTTCATCGTGACAATTGATTTCATAATTCTTTTGTCGAATATAATATCTATGATTATTATTAATTATAGAAATGAAGAATAACAAAAAAAATTAAAATGTCACCGAGCGATATATTAATGGTAATTTTTTTTTCTATTGATTAAATTTTATTTACAATCTATACACATTTTACACAATTAGTAACCTTGAAGCACCTATAAAAAAGAAGGAAACGTAGGAGAAGGGAAAACAACAGATCCACTAAATGAACTTGTGACACGTAATCAGTCTTTTATCGACTTAATCTACTGAAGATGTTAAAATTGCCATCTTAATTTGCGTTATACATATATAATTATTACTATAGTATACCTGTTTAGCGGGCTTTTTAGAAACTTATACCGACAAACTACTAAAATTTTCTACCACAGTAAGCTGCTTTTACAGCGAAAACCTAAAATTCATAAATGATTTATTCATTGAAATAATCGCTGGCAAGTGCATGAGCGTGGGTTTGGACGCATCAATGTTGGATTGCATAGAACGATTTTGGTAGACAATGGACATAAATAAGTCACTGATCGGAATAATGCTATTAGTTCTGAATTTTTTCCACAAAGCTTTTAAAGGTTTGGGCACAACTGTAGTTATCGACGCTTTGGAAAGCCTATTACCACACTACGACCGTCAGATATACAACAAATCAAATTACTTGGACCATAATAATAATATTATTGGAGAAGTTTATGAGGGATTACGAATATGTCCTAGACAAGATGAATTGCGCAACAACATACTGTAGAACTTTTTCATGCCCCGTTGTTTGCCATTTTTTGCTTCGTTGCAAAGCTGAGTTTAATTGGTTTTACCATGAAGTGGGATTTTTCCAAATTTATAAAGTGTAACTTTTTTTTTTAATACTTTAACAATTTGTTTGAGCAACAACTCTGTATATCACAGTTGGTACTTTGGGGGATGGTTCAAATTGAAAAAGTCTACTTCATCAAAATTGAAATTTCAAAAAATAAAAAAACCATACGTTTAATAGTTTGAAATTTTACTGGTTTTAAATACTACTAGATAAAGAGTCGGATCGAGTTGAAAATTTTAAGGAATATATATTTGGTATGCCCTCGAATGTCAGTAGACACAAATTTAAATTATACCCATTTCCCATCCCCTAGGGGGGGATGAAAGTTTATTTACTTTTTGGAATTTTATGACCGTAAAGTTTAAAATTTGTCCGTGTCAGTAATTAAAACTCATATGTCGATAACATTATATGAAGAAAAAATTCGGCAATACAGTTTTTCTTTAATTCCCGGAAACCATGTTTTACTCCGATTTCGTACATTTTAACAAAAACTTAAAATTTTAGGCATAGTGAGGACGGGGAGGTAACTCTCTGATGCTCATTTTTAAAAACAGCACCTCAATTTAATAATTTCTAACTTTGCTGGTTTACACTGTGCTGGATTTGTACTATACTGGCTTGAAAATACTAATTACTGATTTGCATCGAAGCATTTATTTAAAAGTGATTTTATCACTTTCAGATTTAAAAATTGGCGCTAATACCTAATTGTTCAGGAGACACAGTAGGTAACACTTAGGGGGTGATAGTTTTCATTTAATACCTCAATATCGTGAAATTGGCAAATAGGAGGTTTTTTCGAGGCAACGACGATATGTTGTTATTTGCTGTTTAATGAGTATGTAATTATGGCAAGAGTAAAAACTACAATTCAGCAAGATTCAAAATGAAAAAGTTTAATAGTTTAATATAATATCAAATGTCTGGTCGATAGGTTTGTTGACAATAACTATTGTATGGAGTGGTTTCAATAAATTAAAATTTAGATTGTTAATCAACAGATCGCAAACTCGGTCGTTTCGTGTACAGGAGGCTTTTATATTTTGGAAAAAGAAAAACTACAAATTGTAACTTACACACATCATTGTGACACTTGTTTTGCCAAACATGTATTATTTAATACTTATTATCATTATTCATTATAAAAATGCATTAATGTTTAAATGTTACCGAACGAATAATTTTTAATATTATTAAATTATTATTTTATTATTATTTAAGAAGTGTACAGTTTTAAATCGACTTAAGCTACGTTAGAAGTTACAAATGCCATTTATATTTACTTTATACGAAAAGAATTATTACTATTTTCTTAGGTGGCCTAATGGTGAACGTAGAGAATAAAGTGAAATAAATATTCACGGGTGACACTTACTGTTAAAAACAATATTTTACCTACCTAACCGTATAGTATACCTTTTTAGTATTGGTTTACAGAACAGTGTGGCACAACGCGAAATTTAACTATAAACTATAGTCCGACCAATATGATTCAACCGCTTTTGTTCGTGTATTCGTTGTTTTCCATTTGCCCTTTTCTGATGTGCTCGGCCGGTAATTCTGGATCATGGACAGACGCAGACAACGCGTCAACATTAAACGATATATTGAAGGCAACTGGATGGAAGAAGCTGGTATCATATGCTCTAGAACGAGAATTAAAATCAATCAAAGACGAAGTATTGGACGTGTCAGAACTATTAAATAAAGGGGCTGATGGCAATATTGTTACTCCGGCAAATTACTTCGATAAATTGCTAAAATCATCGAATGCGGTAAACTGCTTTTACAGCGAAAGCATAAAATTCATAAACGATATGTTCATTGAAATAATCGCGGGCAAGTGCATGATCATGGGTTCAAGCACATCAATGTTGGATTGCATGGAACGGTTTTGGAAGACAATGGACATAAGTAAGTCACTGATCAAAAAAATGCTATTAGTACTAAATTTTTTCCACAAAGCTTCCAAAGGCTTGGGCACAACAATAGTCATCGACGCTTTGGAAAGCCTATTACCACACTACGACCGTCAGATATATAACAAATCGAATTACTTGGACGAAAATGGTACTGTTAAGATGGATAATTTTATGTGGGATTACAAATATCTCCTAGACAAGATGAATTGCGCAAACAAATTACTGTGGGACTTTCTCGTGGCCCGTTGTTTGCCGACTTGCATGAGCGGAAACCAAAAATCAGACAACATCCTAAAAATTGAAGCAGAAATAAGCAATCTTACGTTACATCAGGGTATCGATAAAGTATTTGACTTTTTTGTTAAAAATTTAATTGTGTACGACCAATCTTTCTTAATTAAACTAGGGTTTAATAAGGAACGATTAATAGTTTAAGATCATTATGTACAATTTTACAGTAATTTATTATGAGCTACTGTTTTAGACTCTTCGTTTTCGTTGTTGTAAGAAACGATTTCTAAATTTTTATTCTGTTTGACACATGTTTGGTTTTCGTAATACAAAATAGTATCTGAAATGACTAAATTTTTTTATGTTAGAAACCATTTGATGGTATAACGTTTATGTTTGAGTAGTTGAAAATAACTGTACTACTTTTGTTGTGCCGATACTGCCAGATGTTTAGCAGGCAAGGTTTGACGCCTTTCCATCATACTGATGTACTTACAGACTGTAAGTGTTTATGCCTATGTCGACAGACATTACACCGCTTTCGCTGCCTGCGATAGACATTTTATAGTTTTTGACATTTTCATGTCTTTGCTCTGGCACATAACCGAAAAAGGCGTTACCAAAACAGCGTCCTTTACAAAAGTGTTACAAGGTGTAGGAGATAGGGTTTAGAAGATAGAAGGTTAGAGATAGGGGTTGGAGATAGGGTTAAGAGATAAAAGATATGTTGTACGTTCAGCGATCAAATTAGAACTAAATGATTAATTCAAAATAAATTAAGGACCCAAATTCAGTATGAATTGTTTTAAGCCAGATATTAAACACTATAATATTAGCCAGAAACTAGATATTTTAACACACTAGCTTGTTACTGCTTCTTAATATACTATATCATTATCTATAACTCCACCATTACTCTAAATTTGTTCGGTACTTCAACGAGACATGAAAATGCTCTTTCGTGGTTGCAGACTCGGCTGAAACACTTTTGTACATAAAACTGTCCTAGGATGAACATAATATACTACTATTTGATTAAAATAGTAGTTTTCATTGGCTAACCAGTCTTAGAAAGGTCTTAGGGTTTCAAAACCACCGGTTTGTCAATCTGTTGTTTTACATGAGATTAGCAGATAAGTGTGTTGATAATTGTTATATGGAGTTGTTTTAAACATTTCAATTTAGGTTTTCAATCACGTTAGATTTAATAAATATTATTATTCTTCATTATGAAAATACGACAAAGTTTAAATGTTACCAAACGAAATAATTGCGAACAAAATTGAAATATTTTTTTTTTATAATTAATTTTAAATTTTATTTACAATCCATACATATTTTGCATATCATCGTCAGCTACACACATGACGTGAATGGCGGAGGAGGGAAGACATCCACCAAATAAACTTGTAACACGTATACGTATTTTCATCGACTTAATTTACGTTAAAAGTTAGAACTGTCATTTATATTTTCTTTGTACAAAAACAGTTATTACTATTTTCGTAGGCGGCCTAACGGTGAACATAGAGTAAAATAAAGTGACACTTACTGCTTACAGCAACATTATACCTATCTAAAAGTATAATATACTTTTTTAGTAGATTTTTGAAAACGTCTTGCACAACGCAAATTATAACTATAAACTATAGTCCGATCAATATGATTCAACCGCTTTTTTTGTGTATTCGTTGTTTTCCGGTTGCATTTTTCTGATGTGCTCGGCAGGTAAACCTGTATCATGGTCACACTCAGACCACGTTTCAACATTAAACAATTTATTGAAGGCGGAGGGATGGAGGGTACTGGTAACAAATACCCAAGATCAAGAACTAAAATCAACCAACGGCGAATTAATGGACGTGTCAGATCTATTGAATGAAGAAACGGACGGCAATATTGTTTCCCTGGCAAACTACACCGACAAATTAATAAAATCTTCGACCACTGTAAACTGCTTTTACGGCGAAAATCTAAAGTTCATGAACGATATATTTATTGAAGTAATCGCAGGGTATTGCATGAGCATGGGTACGAGCGCATCAATGTTGGATTGCATGGAACGGTTTTGGGAAACAATGGACATAAGTAAGTCATGGATCGAAAAAATGCTAAAAGTTCTGAATTTTTTCCACAATGCTTCCAAAAACATGGGTACCACAAAACTCATTAACGCTTTGGAATTCTTACTACCGCACTACGACCGTCAGAAATACATAAAATCAAACTACTTGTACGATAACAGAACAGTCAAGATAGATGATTTTAAAAGGGACTACGATTTTTTCCTAGACCAGATAAAATGCGCAAACAAAATACTGCTGAACTTTCTCACGGCCCGTTGTTTGCCGGCTTTCAACGCCGAAAGAGAAAAATCCGAAGACGCCCTAGATTTAGAAAGAATGGCCTATCATGCGTCAAACCAGGATATCGATAGTGTATTTAACTTTTATGTTCAAAATTTAACTGTGAACGAGAAATCTTTCTCGACTAAACTAGGTTTCGATAATTAACAATTACTAGTTTAAGGTCGTTATGTACATTTTTATTGACATTTTTAAGAGCTGATGTCTTAGATTATACGTTTTTATTGTGTATGAATGCTAAAAATTATATAATACTTATAACAGAAAAAATTTAGTTATTTTATCTGCTTCACGACAGAAACATTTAATCATGGATATCTTATCTCTTATCATTTTTTCTTATTTTTAATCTCTAATTTCTAATCTATTTTTATTTTTTTTAGTCGTATCAGACGCATAGTATAACAGTAGTAATAATAATGGTAACAACAGTAAAACATAAATAAATAACATTTAATGCCACGTTAATTCCTTACCTTGTGTCTTTTTGGATGGGGTACAAGTGTGGGAGCAAGCTGTGCATGTGATGATGTGTTGGATTGTCTGTTCTACTCTGCAAAGGCACAAGGTGTCTGCGCTATCTAGCAGCCCCCGTTTTATTAGGTTATCTTTCGTGCGTCCTATTCCTGTCCTAAGTCTGTTGAGTGTGCACCAAACCGGCCTTGTTTTGTATGGTTCATACATTTTTTCCTGGACTTAAGACGAGAGAGTTGTGGAGTTATACCGTACATAGGATTTCGTGGGTCTGATGTTATTTTCATTCTTTCCCCGTCTGCGTGCGTGGACCTTCTTATTGATTCTTCGGGAATAGCTTCTCTATTCCCGAAAGTATGTATAGTTGTTCAACCGGTGTATTTTTCAAGCAACCGGTTATGAGTCGGCATGACTTGTTAAGTACAACATCGACATTTTTAGTATGTGATGCCCCATACCTACCCCATACTGGACTAGCATATTCTCCCGCTGAAAAGCATAAGGCTAACGCCGTAGTTCTTAAGACGTGAGGATTACAACCCTATGTGGAGCCACTGAGCTTCGGCAATATGCCATTTCTTGTCATTGTTTTATGCTTGGTGTTTTCGCAGTGAAATCTGTAGGTGAGAGATTGGTCTAGCTTTACTCCGAGATATTTTGGATGTTGTGTGACAGTTATTTTCATCATATCCCAGTAGACAATAAAACTACGGTAGGCTCATCAAATCCTCAGGTGGAAAGCACAGACTTATGTTTTACTTGGGTTGGGTTTTAGGTAATTGTGTCTATAATATTTCCCAAGAACGTCCAAAGTAGCCGATAATTTTCGTCTACATGTTCAAATTGTTCGTGTTGTACTACAATTGCTGTATCGTCTGCGTAAATACAGTGTTTTACGTCAATATCTACTAACGACTCCCCGGCTATCGGTCGGCGGCAGTCATCCGTTTATCAAAACCAATAATCGCCAAAAGACCGCACCGCTATTAAAAATACAACAAAGCCGAACCATATTATCACTTCGATAAATGGCTAAGGCAACACTACTAATACAGCTACAAACGCATACAACGCGCTCAACATGTACTCTATCTCGTCTCCAGATTACAGTAACATTTCATCTGAACATTCCTTCTAAAAGCCTAAAAATACAATCAAACGCACCTCCGCAAGAAACTCAACATAAGACTCCCCTGAGAAAAAAAACAAAACAAATTTTTTGCACCAACAAATAGGTACTTAATTTTAGTTATAGACGAAACGCCAGTAAATAAAAACTTAAATCCTGAACAAAATAAAACTTAAGCGAACCCTCTTCCTCCACCAATATTCGTCACCGGTGTTTTAGACTTTGTCACACTAAGACTCCCTCCTAACTACTGTACTCAACAAATTAATTTTTCAAAATGACAAATAATTCTCCATCATCAAAATCACTACTCATACGTCTCCGGAATGCCAACGGTATAAAAAACTATCTAGCTGAACTACAACACACTCATACAGAACCACCGTTAAAAACATTAACCCCTTCACTAATAAATGGAAAAATAAACTGGTCACCATTCCAAACAAATCTTATTAAAAAAATAATCAAAATACCCGCCTAAAATCACCAATGAGTTAGACAATGCCGTACTAACATTTACAAAAATTACTCAAAATACAGCCTGGTGCTTGTCCACACCAAAACAACCTAATCCTAATGTGACGCAAAACCTAATCCCAACACATATAAGGAAATTAATCGAGCAAAAAAGAAAAGCTAGAGCCATGTGGCAAATAACCAAATAACCCTCAAATAAAAATAAATACAATTTTTTTTTAAGAGGCATTGAATGTATATTGTACGTCGTACATTTTCTCTTGTTTTTACATGTTTTTATATCAACTACGTATATATGTACATAATGTATATGAATATATGTACATACAACTACACTTTGAAGTGAAGCTAGAATTTATACAAGTAGCCAATATGAATCTAGTTTAGTACTATAAACGTATAAACGAAACCTAAACGTTTAGCTAAACAATTACACTTTATAATTTACCACGTGACAAACGTAAGAAGAACAAAGAACACGCTACACTGCCATACATGTGAACACGAATTAACAAAGACACACACTACGACCAAATGATAGCTGACTAGAGACTTGGGCATCAACAGCGCCCTGTACCGGCTGTAGTGCGACGAAGTTCATTAATCCCCACCTGGCTCATACATTTTGAGAAAATTTCAATTTCCAGATTTTCCCTTTACTTACACTATAAGACCCACCTTTGTGCCAAATTTACGTTTCTACTTTATACGGGAAGTGTCTTATAATTTTGATGATGAGTGAGTCAGTGAGTCAGTAACAAAAATGCAAATTTTAAAATCCTCCCATCTTAAAACGGCTAAAATTAAGGCCTCAATTTTAGACAGTGGACTGCCGTGCTCTTAAATTAATTAGTGTTTTGTATAAATTTATTTACCTACTAAAAAAAATATATTAAAAGTAGTAAAATAGTAATTATATTTAAGTATACATAATAATTAGCTGTCATTTTTAAGTAAGTCTACTATTTCTAAATTTACCATTCAGAAGGAAAAATAAATCAATTGAATCAGATGGTATATCTTTTGTAAAAATAGGCGAATTGACTCCAAATTAGTATAAAATATTGTTTAATCAATATGTTTTCCAATTTATTAAACTGGCTCCAAGTCTTCCGTAACTAACTATAGACCCGTTTCCAAGTTATCATCTCTCCCTAAGTTATTTGAAAAACTACTTGAACCACCACTATCACGTTCAATAAACAACTTACTTTCAGTTATTCAACACGGGTTTAGATCAGGTATGTGTACAGAAACAAATCTTTTATGTTTCAACAACGACTTATTGGCATCTGTAGAAGCTGGCCTCCAAGTCGATGTTATTTACACTGACGTAAAGCATTTTATTCTGTAGATCATGAAATGTTAATTTTTAAATTAAACTCAATTGGCATAATCGGTAACCTTTTAAACTGGATCAAATCATATTTAACTAACCGCTACCAACAAGTATTAGTTAACGAGTACTTATCTAAATTCTTTGTGACTTCTGAAATACCTCAAGGAGATCAACTATCCCCTGCATTATTCTTACTATTGCTGATTGATAAAGATAATTGCTTTACTAAATTTAAACTTTTTGCAGATGATCTTAAATATATTATACTATTTCCTGCCTTAATGAGTGCTCCATATTACAAGATGAATTGAACACATTTTTAAAATGCTGTACTTTAAATGGTCTTAGTCTAAACGTTTCAAAGTGCTCTAAAATCTCTTTTTTCGGTAATAAAAATAAAATCGCATTTGATTACTCCATAGGAAAAATACACCTGCTCGTGCTTGATACCATACGAGACCTTGGGGTAACTTTTCATTCTTATCTTCTTTTCACACCTCATATAGAATTTATAATCCTAAAGGCAACAAAAACATTGGGTTTTCTATTTAGATCAACCGAATCTTTCCATTTTTTTCTCTATTTCTCTTTTCTCGATTTTTTCTCTAATAGTCTACCAGAGCTGAAGCATTATTATTCAATTTTCATTTTCTATCTCTATAGTATTATTATACTGTTCATTACTTGTATTTTTATATCTTACACATTTGATCATACTAATATAATTTACTAATTATGTACCTGTACTTGAGCCTTCCTGGCGCTAATTCAATAAATAAACAAATAAATAAACATTGATATACCGAAATAAATATCACAAACCTATTTATACATATTTTTTTTTTTTTTAAAGTTTTAGGGATTTAGATCTGATAGTAAGATCTAATGTAGAACTAGAATGGACTATAACACAAACATTTTTCTAGTAGTAAATTTGAATAGTAGTCAATTTCTAGGTTGCTATGTGTGCCTGAATCAATTGTCGATAGGTAATGAAAATTTTAAATGTAATTATAGATGTGATTTATGGGTGACTATGGCAATACATATTTATAGACAGACGGCCAACTATAGTTATGTCTAAAAAGTCATTTTTAAGCACACAATTATTATTAAATACAATGATTTTATTGGAATTTGTATTTTTTCTGTGAACGCTGGACTTCTTTTACTTACTCTTTTACTACTTACTTACTACTACTTACTACTACTAGATTCCACTGTACTGTTTTGAACCTACTATCCACAGATTCGCTCTCAAGCGTTTATTGAAAAACGATTTTATCCCTTAAAATTATAATGTTGACATACATACCACTAGACCAGTACCCGTCAGTATACCCAAACACACTGTACTGACTTTTTAATTATTATTTATGTTGTTTTTTTGCTGTTTATTGGTTATGTACTAATGGCAAGTGTAAAAACTACAATTATGCAGGTATAAAAATGAAAAAGTTTAATGGTTTGAGATAATACTATAGGCATATCAATAACATTAAAAACCGGGATACCATCAATGGGGAATATAATAATATAAGAAAAAAGAAAGTTCAACACTACAACAAATATTCTTGAACGTAAACTTTGAAAGCCTCCCATATAAGAAACGATCGGTGTGTCAATCTGTTGACTAACAAGACATTGTCGGATAAATATATAGGTATGTTGAACATTATTGTATGGAGTTGTTTTAAAAATTTAAATATAGGTTTTTGATCAATTTGAACGTCAACAGATCGACATACCGATGTTTCGTGTATAAGACTGCTTATA